AAAAACATGCTCCAATTATTAATGTCCATTATTAAAATACTGCTAAATGTTATATATTATATTGGATTGGCTATTGTAAAGTTATTAAGTTCTTTATTAGCCTCAACTTGTTCTTTATGTTCATTTAACCTCCATTCATCACGTTCCATTAACATCTCATCATATATCGGTGATGGTGGCCCAAATAGTTCTTTGGGTGGTTGTTTTTTAGACCTTTTGGTTTGAATTTTTATTCCAAACACAACCATTGTTGTACGTGTACGCGCACTCTTCCTTGAAGCAGTTGAAACAAGTACATTTGGGTTGATGAATGACCCACTAATAGTGTTGTTCTTTTTTATTCGTGGTCTTTTGATTTTTATTTCTTCTGTTTCATCGTCAATCTTAATATCATTTACCACTTCATCATTAATATTACTATTACTACCATCACCACTACTACCAACAGTATTACTACTCCTCTTCCTCTTCATTCCAATACCACCATTTTTTCCTTTTCCTAACCCTCCTAATCCTAACGAATCATATCTTGCCAATTGATCCTCCGCTTCTTTTAACAATTTTTCACGCACTGTTTCAAGCCTGATCATATCATTATTAGCTGGTTCGTTACTTCGTAAGGAGGCAACGGACATCAAGGGATTTTAAATAGGGAAAAAAAGGGCTGAAAAATTTTGGCCGAGTTAGGCCAAAACCGACTTATCGAGTCTACCTACGTAGTAGTAATTTTACCTTGCAGGTCAAAATCTGCGTTCATCAGGATCAGGTGGACGACAAACAAAATCCATCAAGTGATACAAAGGGTGCAAGCAAATTTCAAGTTTTTTAAAATTTATCACATGCACAAATTTTAGCCAATAAATTTCAAGAAAATCATTGCGATACAAGCAGACTAAGAGTTTTAGCCAATAGAATTTAAGAAAATTATTTGACTCGAGTCCAAATTTGATTTATATATTAAAATTGGATCAAACTTGGCTTGAACTCAATTCAACTCGGCTCATT